ACGTGCGCGTTACATGTCTAAAACATCATTGCAAACGTTATACGAAACTAAATTCAATAATATAGTATAAACCAAAGGGAAAATAATTTAACTAATAACATGTTGAGGGAACCGGGCGTGTCTTCCTCGACTACCGGGTGACCGGGGTACGCTTTGACCGCGTGACCCGGTCGCGATGTGACCCGGTTATCGTGCAACGGGGTATGCACTGCCCAGGTCCCGACCGTCTTCTTGCATTTCACGACTGAATTACGGAACCCAATACCACTCAAAAGTATTTAAGGTATCACATGTACCTTTAAACTTAATCACTTATATAAAAAACTTAATATTTATAGTCAACCAAATCCAAGAAATATATTTTGACAGCTGTCAGACTTATTGCACCAAGCATTCCAATAAAAAAAATGGGAACGTACAATATTCGATTCTTGAAAAAATCGATATTGATTATTTAGAGTTGTTAATCATTTATAGTTTGGTTTGAATAATACCAGAACAAATTAAAAATTTAAAAAGGATAATTTAAAACACAAGATTTATCAGCTTCGTCGTATTTGTTGTTACTGCTTATTTCTAGCGGCACAGTTATAAAAATTTAAGATTGAAACCAGATTAAAAATAAATTTATTCAATCACTTTCAGTACAACTAGTAGGGATGTCGTTGTTTAATTATTATTTGGTTTTCAATAATGCTAAATTTCATAAGCAATTTTTTGTTTTTTTTACCACTTTTGCCCAATTATCCTTTGTGACATGGGCACATGCTTTAACGAATATTTTTTTATAGCATTGGGTGACAAACGAGCACACAGTCCACCTGATGGTAAGTAGATGCTACGGCCCATAGATATACACATTTATCCACAATTAAGAATCAAATTCAAATGCGTTGTCACCCCTGAAGATTAAGATGGAATGCCTAGATTCTGGTAAAAAGGGTCTCCGGTTCTCTACACTCACCATATGAAACACATGAGCATTACGCTGCTATTTTACGCTGGTATTCTGTGAGAGCGTGGTCCTGCCCTGGTTGAGCCGACCCATTCGGGTTACAACTATAATATAGATGTAGCGTGGCTCTACCACGTATATAAAGTTATTTTAGAAGAAACAGTCCTAAAAGTTAAAGCCGAGTCACAAAATAAGAAGATAAATTTATACATAGCTTATTTTAAACATATTGTAAAAAAGCTTATTGTAAAGGAAAGGAATGTTATTATACTAATAAAGTTTATTTATTCTTGAAAAAATAATACAAAACTACAAAATTACGCACAGTAAGCTCTCGAAACAGAAACAGAAACTTTTTTATTCAATATAGATTATGAATAATACTTATTGAAAGTCACTTTTTTCATTTACCACTGGTTCGCAAAAAAAACCTCTGTCCTGGGAAGAACCAGCAAGAAACCCAACGGGACTAGTTTTAAAAAAAAATAAGAGCTTACAATCATGCGTGTTACAATTAACAACACAAAACAAATTAGAAATAGCTTGGTAGCGATCACCCTTCCCTGGGTTATTATCATCCATAAATTCCTTAATATTAATATAACCATTTTTATACAAACTTACTTTAATAAAATTTTTGTACTTTGTCTACTCGTACTTTAGTCAAATTTTTTATATTTTCTGGCATTTTGTTTTAAAAGCGTATACTTCGCCTCAAAATAAATTACTGATTTTATGGAGTGAGTAACTGGTACCGAAATGGCGGGATATTGAAATTACGTAGCGTTTATTTTAGCACGGCCTCGTATATGAGTTTTTTGCTTACAAAAATTTACTTTGAGAAAGTGAAAAAAAAATAAACTTGTTTTATTCATGATTCGTGTAATTTAAGGAATTTTGCAAATAAAAATTAAATTAAACAAACAATACATTAAAGAAATTAATGATTCGATTATTAGAATATTTTTACCGATTATTTGAATATTTTGCTGATTATTTACATAACAATGAACTTTAATCATCCAAACACTACGGTAATATACAACCCCCAAAAACAAGCAAGATAAAAAAAAATAAAACCCAACCTCTTTTTTTTATGGTTTTAATATATATTAAAATTATTTAAAATAACGTATATAGCGACATGTCATTGAAATGAAGTTAAGTAAAAAAAGTTAATACTGGTTATTGTTTAATATTTTGCTTTTTTGAAAAATTCAAATTTAAATTAGTGATAAAAAACTATACACGTTGTAATGAAATATAGATAACTTCATAATTCTTCGGATTTACGTAAAAGGTTATGCATGAGCACGATTTGGTTGGAACTAATTTTGTTAGTTTCAAGCACAGACGCAGAGAAGGCAGTCTTTCGGTATTCCAGGGGATTAATTCGGATATTATATCTTTAAATTTTTTAATTATATTTTTAATTTTTATTTTAATTTTATTAATCGGATAATGTGCTCAGGAATAACATGGTTATTCCTGAGAACATTATCCGATTATATCCGTATAATATCCGAATTAATCCCCTGGAATACCGAAAGACTGCCTTCTATGTGTCTGTGCTTGAAACTAACAAAATTAGTTCCAACCAAATCGTGCTCATCCATAAACCTTATAGTACGCGTCTCCATTGAATCCAAAGCTGTTAGGAGGCTTTCTGTTTGTGTTTTTGTGTGTCAGCAGTACTCCATGTACGACTGGACTTGAGTTTCACTTTTTTGTGGTAAGCGTCTTAGAGTGTCGTACCGTGACCGTTTTGCCTCATTTCCTAATTTCCTTGCAATTACTTTGGCCTAGAACTCAATGACAGAACATTGAGGTTTTATGAAATCTCAACCCATAATAACTGAAAGCGGTCATTATACGCCAAAGATACACTCCGAAAAGTAATAGTCAATGAGAACAGGCTTCTTTTTGCGTTGAATAGATATTACAGCACAATGCAGCAAATCTTACAATGGGAGAGGTACAGTCGCGGATTGTTACATAACAAGTGTTAAGAAAAGTTATGGCATGTATTTAAAATAAACTATATTTCGTGCCAAATCGATTGAGAAAAACGGACATTGACCTTTTGTGAACATGAACCATTAAATATGAAACTGTTATTAAATGAATTGCTGCGTTACTATACATAAATTGTCATATAAAATATAACACATTTTTCGCGATGTACCGTAAGATGTTACGATGTTTATAGGAACCACAGACAATATTATTTAAGAAACAAAAAAACAAAACATATGTGCTGACCCATAAGTGTGAATAATATCAATAATTAAATATTGTTATCACATCTAATTTGTGATTTTGTAAGTTACGCCTTTTGTCACTCGGCTCATATCTGAGGTCATCGTCCGTTTTTCTCAATCGATTTGGCACAAATTATAGTATATCGTGTATAAGCGGTGTAAGAATACTCCTACTCCACTACTCCATATCATCCCGTGGGTGTCGTAAGAGACGACAGAGGGAGACAACCCAGGATTGCGATTGCGTGCGATTGCCAAGTGTAGCAACTAATGGCAAATACTTTTAAGTAATCATGTATTATTTCACTGTTTATATAAATATTAAATAGAGTAAATAAATACTTCCACTATAAGGTAATCTATAGGGAGGGGTCGGGGGGGGGGGGAAAGAGCAGTGAGCAGGCTGTAATAATTATTATTTTTAGGTATGTACAAATCCCAATCGAATATTTAAGAAACAATTCACACGTTTAATACGGATAATGTGCTCAGGAATAACATGGTTTAATTCGTCCTACCCTGTCCATTGTCGGATAACTAGTTGCTCGGCGTATCTCCAAACCTTTTTTTAAATACATAGCTTTCAAACTAAACGATTTGCTTATTCGTTAAGTAATGCTTACAGCAAAGGAATCGAACAGTTTGCCAGCATCTGTCTTTTCATTCGATTGCAATGTGCGCGTCTTCAAATCACAAGTGAGAAGTCCTTTGTTTAAGCTAAGTCGGTGTGTTTTACCGCAGTGGGAAAATTGTCAAACACTGACTTATAAACTACCAAAGTCATAAACTTTTACGGTTCTCCCCATGGCCGAATAAATATTTTTAATCTCTATATACGGAATGATTATACCGCTATGTGATTATAAAATCACACACAAAATTTCATCAAAATCAGTTCAGCCGCTTATCTCATAGTTAATCTTTATATATATATATATATATATATATATATATAAAATAAGATAGACTATATCTCATAGTTTATCTTTATATATAAATATTAGATTTTTCTGACAAGCGAGTACATTTCATTAAGTTATCATGACATATATCGACATAACATGTATGAATAATTTGCACCCGCATGACCTCTTCACTGCTCAAAATAATTGCTTAATTAGATGGATGAATTAGTTAGTGGACCCGGGATTCTATCCCTATTCTGAAGCAATGAATTAGCTCTTTATAAACCACTGCCAAGCACAAACCTAAAGTTAATTTCGAAAAAGTAATGTATTCAAAGAGAGAATATCTCATTGTTCCAGTACAAGTCTTTTTTTATATAATTAAACTTTAATTTTGTTTATGCCCACGTCTTTCTTACTTTCCACATATTCTTTACTTTCCATGTTATAAAAGTAACATTTGAAATTTTATTAGTGCCAACGAAGGGCGATATAAAACATCATGTAAACATATGTACATGTGCGACAAAAAAAAACCCTTTGAACCTCGAACAGGAAAATAACTAACATTATAGCTGTTTAGAACTGTAACAATGAAACCTTTTGTGCAACTATAATCGACCTTCTAAAAAAAAAGTTGTAGGTGCGTTATCACTTCTAATGAATGAGGTGAAATGTTCGGTACATTTTGTAAACAAAACGGTGAAATCTATAGTTTAAATTGGAAATTAATAAATAAAAATACTGAACTATCCAAACATATTTCATAAACAAATCATTTTAGATAACAAAAAATTTAATTGATAAAAATTAAAAGGTCACATATTGAATAAACAACTTACAATCATTCCAAAGAAATGTATCAGATTTCATTTGCAACTATAATTTATTGGAAATTGTACTGTCGAAAGTGATTCCATCAGGTCCTATTACATTCATCATAAAACCATTTTGTAACTCCTTTTCGAACGCCCTATATTCGGTTTCCGAATTATTAATAAAGTCAGGCGACTGCGACATAGAAATACAGTCAAAGCCTCTGCTAACCAATTTGACCACTCGTTTTACACTAATCAATTCCTTCATTAGTTTCTTAATTAAGTTTGTCTTTGAATCCAATAATGATCGCAACTTCAAGTTTTCTAATTGAAGAGCAAAAATTTTTGTTTGCTCTTTTATCTCCCGCTGATGAGCCCGATCTAATTGTCTTTTTAATTCAACCGCAACTGTTAGAAAAGATTCTCTTATTTCATCTGTATTTGTTTTTGCTTCGTCTAATTTTCTCTTGAGTCCTTCTACTTCTTTAATAAGACTACTGATTCGGTTATCTGTATTCACATATGATGTATCTGTCATTTTTTTACGTTTCCCAGTTACTCCCTTAACGATAACTTCCACGGCTGTAGTATCATTTCGGAAAATCTCATAAGGAATGTTTTGGTTATTCTTTGTAAAGTTGCTTTCTGCTTCCTGATTTTGACAGTTGAAATGGTAATTAATTTCTTTACCACCATCCGTCATTTCATTGTCATAGATAAACCCATACTTTAAGATAATGTTTTTTATAAAAACAAAACGAAGAAAGCAAATTAAATAAGTATGCAAAAATATTTCTGTCAGTTACAATGACAATCAAAGATAATATTCACTAGGTTCTTCTCTCAGTGTTGTATGAATGTAATTACTCTAAGGTTCTTCTAATCAGAAATACAATTTTTACTTTTTTAATAAGCTATAACCGTAGATGTCATCAATGCATAAATATGTGTAGTGCTTATATTATGTGAGTACTTGCTTACAACCTCTTAATTTCAACAAATAGATTCCATAGAATTGATACATAAGAAAGTACCCGCTTCTGTTTCGCCTTATATTATGCATAATAGACAAAATATAGGTAAAAATATAATATGTCGTTACAACGGCGCTAGTGCACCACAAAAAAGTCGCGGCTCGACTGTTTAGCCGAGAGTCGAATTTCCCGATTTCCACTACATGGAAATATACATTGAGCTATCGGTTAATATTTATTCGACTGATTAATCTAAAAGCAATCAATGTGGTATTTTGAATTTCGTTTTGTAGAGGCACTATCGAGTAGTTTCCATAAATCCCCATAGAATTTAGACATATAAACTAAACAGTTATTCGATTAAAAATTGTACACGTATTATTTTGCACCTAGTGAAAACTTCACTGTGATTGAACGTGCAACTATACAATAGAAATTGAAAATGAGCGCTAATTAAAAAAAACATTTTAAATGTTAATCGTTCTTTAACATTGCAACAATGAACTCCATAGTTTCATTTCCAGGTCAATTGACCCGCTTTCAGACAGTCATGCATTAACTGAAAAGCTGAAAACAAAAGTTCGTCGCTAAAAGGGCAGATTTAAAGGCTTCATCCGGGTTGGGTGTAGCAACTAGGGCGTGTGATTGCTTCCCGGACCACGGCCTCGATTGTAGCGCAGCTAACACCGATAAATAAAAGGAAAAATGCAACATAAACCATGGACTTCGAGTTTAAAATTGTTCATTTAAAATCCTCTCAGAAAAATTCAATACTCTCAGTGTTGATGAGGTATTTCATAAGCTGAAATATATATATATATATATATATATATATATATATATATATATATTTTTTACGTTGTGGAGCCATGCTGCAGCTATGTTATAACTGTAGAATGAATTGATCGGCTCGGCCGGTGAAGGACTCTCTCAGAATACCAGCGTAAAATACCAGCTCGATGCTGCTGTGTTTCTTATGGTGAGTTTTGAGAACCGGAGACCCATTTTACTGAAAACGAGGCATTCTATCTTGGTCCTCAGGGGTGGCAACGCATCTGCATTTTGATTCTTAATCGAAGATAAATGTTGATGTCTATGGGCCACAGCATCCATGTCATTAGTAAAATGTTACATAGCATGACGAAGAATTATTTTTGCTGTAAAGGAAAAAATACTAATCTTCACACAAATATGCATAAGTAGTAATCAATTTATTGTATAGATAGCCGCCAGCTACCTTTAACGCCCGACTTTGTTCGCGTATAATTTATACAATAAATCCGGAGATCTTTATATTAGGTACTCTTAAGTAGTATGATTATCGAAAAACCCATAAAATAACTACGGACCGCTGTGCCGCGCCCGTGTCGCTCTATGAAAAAACCACTTTAAACTATTATCTCAAAAACTATGTGTGATGTGGAATAAATAATGTTTAAAAGAAATTGATTTAAGTAAAACAATGTCCTGTCAGTATATCTTTTAACTCATAGTTATATTGTAAAATAGCGATAAAGTAAAAAATGCATTTGCATGAAAACTTTAAGAAGATAAAGTGTTAGAACCTCCTTTGTCCAAAAGTGCAAAACGAAAAAGTTTTGTTCGAAACTCTTTTTATATCTCTATGCCCTCTCTCTCTTATGCGATAAATATCCAAAAAAAAATTGTCTCCGGTTCTCTACATTCACCATACGAAACATAGCAGCATTAAGCTTCTATTATACGTTGGTATTCTGTGAGAGTGTGGTGCCACCACAGTGAAGCAGACCCATTCGAGCTACAACCGTAACATAACTGCAGTGTGGCTCTGCCACGTAACACGTTTTCCTATGTCGCCTCTTGCGACGCCGACGAAAAGATATCTTTTATTTACATGACCATTAAAAATTATGTTGCTTAGCCGAAGTCCCTGCGAGCGAAACCGCGGGTACGAGGCTAGTGTTAAATACATTTTATAACTAGTTACGTACGAATTTCAAAATAGTTTTGTTTTGTATATAACTACCATATATATTTTCCTTTCCTTTTCTAATTGGTCTATAATAAAAACCACAACGGTGCAACGCCTTCTTTTAAATTTTCCGCCTTTCCCTATATAATTATTTTCCTTTGTATGTACCGTTACCGTTACAGACGTCCACTAAAGTCCACTGCTGAACGTAGGCGTCCGCTAGGGGTGCCTCATAGGGGGAATATTTACTGTTACGAGCTTAGGGTTCGTGACAATACAAACTGCCGATTGAATTATCAAAATTGACACTTCAATTACCGAACACCAATTACAACTTAAAGCACACTAACAATAAAACACAATTACACTACTGATTACTTAAATTCGCAGTTACATCGCTTCGAAGTATTCGCTTGAATCGTCAATTCAATACTAACCCGGGCGGAACATCTAGAATGTTCGAGTAAATACCGGTCCTGACTGACTAGGTGTAGAAAGTTCTGGCATGGAAATCTCTAGAGGGATTTTTACCCTCCTAGTTCTGCTACTCGATACTAGAGTACCAGGCATGAATTATGGCGCGCAACACTACCCCCTCCTAAGACATGCTCGTCTCAAGCATTATCGGCCTCATAATAACGAGCCAGTCGATCCACTAGGACGATCTTAGGAGTAGCTCTTTCAACCTTTCTGTATCCGGTAGGTTACGTCATTGATCTTTGTCACAATTCGGTACTATTCGTCCCATTTACCTTGAAGATTAGGCGATTTCCCTTTGCTGCTAACTAGATTGTGCAACCACACTTGTGACCCTTCATCGAACCCTTTGTTGTCATTTTGCGTTTGCTGGCCCGACTATCTGACGTGCTCATAAATGTCATTCATTTTTTTCACAAGTCTCTTGTTATACTGCGTGGGGCATCAGGTAGTATTCCGGTGATCAGGTCTGCAGACCGGTCCTGACTGACTAGGTGTAGAAAGTTCTGGCATGAAAATCTCTAGAATGATCTTGACTCTCCTAGTTCTGCTACTCGATACTAGAGAGCGCTAGTGGTATCTAATGTTGCCATGTATCAGGCATGAATTATACGCGCAACATTGGCAGGTGGGTTGATAGCCCCAGTTTTTATTTTTTGTTGTTATTGGGAAGGAACTGCTGCCCATCTCCTGGTTTGTTCCCCTCTGTCTCTGAAAGATATCTTTTATTTACATGACCATTAAAAATTATGTTGCTTAGCCGAAGTCTCTGCGAGCGAAACTACGGTTACAAGGCTAGTGTAAAATATATTTTATAACTAGTTGCGTAAAAATGAATGTCCTAATAAGTACATTGAAATTAGTTTAAATATAAGGTGACCCGACAAACTTCTACTAAGCAATATTACTGACCTCGGTAGAGATGGGGTCAGTCCGCTTGTAAATGTAGATCCTGCGACTTATAAGTTCTATTCGTATAATTCCAAAACGGTATGTGGGTAAAGAGCTAAGAAGGATTTTGTATAAAGAACCTTTTTATGAAACTCATTTATGTTGCTATGATTTCGAATAAATGAAATATTTGGACATCGCCATTAGAGAACCGAACACCAGGCTCCAATGTGGGAGTCTAGCTCAGTTTTTTCGAAAAGAACAATCCGCCACCATTCGGTCCATAGAGCCTTACCAAGCAATCGGTATAGTGAACTAATTGCAGGAGAAGCTCAAAGTACAGGCATATGTTTTTTCTCTAGTTTGATATTACTCTAAGCGGTAAAGTTAATTGAAAAAATGTTGCCATTTTATTTTATTTGAGTGATTTCCAATAACGTAAAGCAACAAATGGTTTCATATGGTAAATTAAAATGTTCTCTGCATTTTTGCCGCTTCTTTTTCAAGTCTCGATAACATTTCATCTAGGTAATAATATGTTTGTTAACATTTTATCGTATTTAATGTAAAGGTTATATAAATATAAGCCTTCGATATGGCCTTGTGGAGTGGTGGTGACTTAAATTGATTTTTTTTTTCAAATTCAAAATATTTATTATAGTTAAGCGGACGTTTTTGGTGTGAATTTATTAAATTATTACTCACGTGTCTATTTATAACTTTACTACCCATTTCGGGTATTACCATATTTATTATATTTTAAAGGCCTGTGCCCAACATATATTACATGCTTAATAAAAGTTGTAAAATAAATTTTTAAATTACATTAATTAATTAAAATTATTACAAAATATTATTTTTAAATTACGTAACATAGAAATAATACCATATACATATGTATATAATTTCAAATATTATAATGCTAATAACGCTATATCGTTACTGCAGTTTTTGAAAATATAAGTAAATAAGGCTTTAACTTTCCGACCGATCGACCATCACAAATGTTTGCGTGCGCAATAAAATCAGTTAAAATAATGCATTACCACGCGTTTTTCACTTAAAAGAAAAAAGGACAGAATGTTTGATTTTTTTTACTAATTTTTCTTCACCATTTACCCATATTACTTATTCTGAATCTTCTCTGCAAATTTAGCCAGTTATTGCAAAATAACCCTATATATAAGACTTTTAATTAAAAGAATTTTCCAACTGTATCACTTACCTAAAATGTCACAAATGGAGACTAATGCGATATTGGGTTAGTGATCTTGTAGGCGATTAACTATATTTTTATTGCTAAACCTGCTCTTTGGACTCAACTTAAACGATCGAGGATTACAGGGGCGACGCTATTGTGAGTACGTATAAAGAAGCAGGCTATCTATTAATCTATCTCTTATGATTCTC